ATAGAATATCAGTGTAAGAATCACGACCGCGCGTCGGCCGGCGCAACGTCAAGACATGGACAGGGTGTAAAGTTCCAACGCTCCACCTGAAATGGTTGCGCAGCTGTGTCGTGCAATCCTTTTTCCAACTGTACCATGGCGGAAATAGTGCTCGACATGCCCCCGCCAACCACTTCCCTACTGGTGGCTCATCACTGCCGTCGCGAAGGTGGCGTATCCGCTTTTCTGTACTTTTTCCCGTCCAAGGATGTGGTCGCATGCTAAGTAGTGGGACGCTCTCCTCCCAAGCGTGTTTGGATGCGCCCCTTGATCTGGTTGGGAGCAAAGATGCCAGCGCGCAGGAATCGAGGTTGGGTGGTCTGACCCACACCAAGATCAGGAAGAAGGCTACAAGCCCTCCAAAGTTGAGGCCGCACCAAGAGAAAAGGCATCTCATTCCACACAGTTTTGAAGCCTGCCGTCAGCTCTTTGCGATGGGCCTGCTACTTTGGAAGAAACACTGTGAGGGCAATGGGCGTCGATGTCAAAATCTGCTATGATTGCCTTCATGTCTTCATGTTTTCGACAAAGACTCACAATTGGATAGGCAAACTTTTGAATCATGTCCCCTCGAGTTGATAAGAAGGTAGTGAACATGTTAGCTGTGAAGTAGCAATTCACATTGGATAAAGACTTTCATCGAAGGATTTCCTGAAAGAGAATTGCCTCAGATTCTTGCAATTGTGGAACGTCTGGGAGACAGTTCTCAGTCTCTTCCCAGCAGGTGGAAATCCAATCCAAACTTTCACACGCGCAACGTTGGGCAGAACGTATGGATAGGCAGGAATGTTCTGACCCGAGCCAGGAATTGGAAACAACCCCAGTAAGGAACCGAACCGCCTCCGAATCGCCACCGAAACGAATCGCTCAAATCGAGCCGCGAGTTGAAGTGGGATTGAAGGAATCAACAGCAAAGGAATCGAATCGCGCTCGAGCCGGTTATGGGGTGACTGATTTGGCGTGCGTGCGTCCCTTGTAGTCATAGGGATCCACTCGGATTGCGCTGATTGCGTTTCAATTTTGTTGAGCAGGGGGACACAGCGCCAGATGACCGTGTCTAACAAAGCTATGCAATCTGGTGGATATCCAGCTTGGCCAGCTGGACGTACCATGACGTACCTGCAAATTTTAATCCTTTGGTAAAGTGCTAATGCATCTGCAGTCACGCGCGGACCGTCGTCACCTTGTCGAGTTTCCGCAGTTCGAGCTCGTGGACTTTGGAGGTTGC